ATTCAATGCAGTACTGAGTTTCACATCACTTATCCTAATTCATATGTACTATTCAAGACCTAGAACACAGTAAAGGGTCATGATCTTTTCCCCTTTGTCTGGTCTGATTACTCATTCTATTTACCTGTTTATCTCTGCCCAGTTCTCATTACCGCTCATCTGAATCACCTGCTTTAGCCTTCATTTAACCAGCCTTCAGGCCAGTCATCAGTGCCAGATTATTTGAGCCTTTGGTTAGAGTTCTGCAGATTACCTGTGTTTTCTGATTGCCTGATCCTGATCTGTTCTGCCTCCAGACCTCTGAGCCTGCCTGTCCCCGTTCTGATCCGTTTACCTGAACTGTCTTTGGACGCCTTCTGAATTTCTGCCTGTCTGTGCACCAAACCTGAAACTGCTTCCCAACTCCGTTCTGGATTTCCCTTCGGCACCTCTTTGGACCTCTTATCTCCTGGCCCTGACTCCTGTACACATCCTCAACACCGACTTTGCCCTCTGGATTATCTTGCATTCCTTCGTCTGCTCGGTTCTGATCTCCTGCCTGTTCTCCGATCTTCGAGACATCAGCGTCTCGGACTCTTGTCTCGTCTTGTTGGCAGCCGACCGGCTGGACCACACCTCATCCTCTGGGCTTGTACGAACCTATAAACAACTCATTTTTTTCTTTTATGCATTTTCTGATGCTATTCTTTTCAGTAATTCTGTGTTTCCATTTATGTGTTATCAAACAGCAGAAAACCCCGACTTAAGGGAATTGTGTATGTTTATATCCCTTTTTTGTCTTTTCATACCCTCAATATTAGCGGAAAGAGCTATAGCTAATCATTCTGGCTCTCCTGAGATTTCTTCAATTTAAACGAGAGTTTATTATCTTCACTGTTCATCACCCAACTTCTCCTGTTGGAGGTAATTGTAAAATCCCTAATTGTTCAAAATAAATTGTATTTGGACTAAACTGATATTTATCAGTTAAAAACTAATTGGACATTTCTCTAGATGTTTTTCATGCATACCTTTATCAAGGGTTTCCAGAGACTGATTAAAAATTAAACAATGGCATAGGTGACAACTTCCTGGTGATACAAACTTCAAGAAAAAAAAAAAAGCAAAACAAAATACAGCGAGTTCCTGGTAAGGTGCAATTCATCACCAATCAAGAATGTTTTATCAACTGCTGGGAATGGGAACTGGTTCAACAATTGCACTTCAGGTAGTGAGCTGACCATTTAGTTTAGAAGCTTTATATAATCTTACTGGAAGCTAAAATGCACTCGCCACAATCTGACAAACTGCCATAATGCCAACCAAACATTGATATACTATAAAACAAAAAGGACAAAAAACATAAGCTAGTATTTTACTGTAACTTAAAAAAAAATATCATTAACAGCTGTAAGTAAAATCAACACACTAAAACAAAGGTCTAAGGGTGGCCCATGCCTGTGATAACAATGATATAAAATCAGATATTTGCATTCAGAGTATTAAACAAACCATGACATAGTTTTTCTCACTGTCTGACATTTAATCAAACTAAACATTGCCTGTATTAGGTCAGTCAGGATTACATAGCCTGTTTTATTTTCTAAATGCCAGAATAATGAGTGATTCCATTTTGTTTGAACTTCAAATTCTTAGGTTTACAAACATTTTACAAATATTTGGAGGAGTTGTTTTTTGTACTATGTGACTTGTCTCAAATGTTTTCAGTGTTCTTCCAGGACTCCCTACAATTGTATGCTCCAATTTTGGTAAATTACTCCAAACAGGAAGAATGTGTATATAAGTCAGGTTTATATTTAGGTTTTTAAGTGACATGATTAAAGCCGTCAAATTTTTCTTTTTTTTGGTTTCTTTTTTTTTTTTTTACAGTGATGCATGTTTTTGTGAAAAACACCAGTTCTTCTTTCGTTAAAAATAACAGACCAGCACAACAACAATTTTAGAGCTAAATTATTGTGTTAAGTCTATAATAGCACATTCATCTCTGGTACACAGAACCCATATCCTATGTTAATTGTATGATGATATAATAGCTGGACATGTTTATGCTTGTGAGAATGAACCTTCAGGCAACTTGGGACTTATGGATAACCCAGATATGTTGGCTGTTTTCTTTTAGATATTATTTTCATGATGCAATGTCATTTAGGTTGTGTCATAAAAATAATCCACAGATAGGGCTCTAATTAAGTCATATGCTGCAAATCTACCAATGCTTAAAAACCAATTATCATCTTAGCTGTTAAGGAACATTTTCTTCAAGGTATATTTAGGTTTCTAAATTTAAAGAGAGTTAAACATTTCCAAATAAAAAAATAGCAATAAAAAATAAAGTTAATGCTAATTTAGTTTAGTCTATTGAATGAACAGCTAGGCAAAGGGATCATTGGTAGACAGTAGGGGTGTAAATCACATCCATCATGGCGATTCGATTCAGTATCGATTTCCTGACCCAACGATTCGATTATTTTCGATACTCAAGAATACACCACGATTCGATTCCATTCGATTAATCGATTAATCAATTAATCGGTTATTTATTTATTTTTTTTTTTACACCTTACAGGCTAAACAAAGTTTCAAGTTTGAAATAAATCAATGAAAGCTGTAATATCATTATGCATTTTCTTTAGATACAACAGCAAATAACAGAAGTAGAAAAGTTGCATCAAAAAATACTGCAAAAATACTGCACAATATCAGTGTAATGAGTTCAATGCAATACCTCGGCTCCAGAGAAACTGTCCAACATATTTTTTTAGAATGTAATAAATATACCCGGTACTCAGGAAAGAGAGATGTTGCTTAGAGAGTTAGACAGGAATAAAAATAAACTACATATAAGGGAATTGTTTCAAAGGTCATCTGGGGATGTAGTTTTTGGTAGTATTTTTAATTTTCTAAGAAGAACGGGTATTTTAGGGAGAATATAATAGTTTGTCTGGTCCATACTCCATTCTGGAAGGTGGCGGTAATGCACCTATAAGTTGTTTGCCAACCGCCATTAAAAAAATGGTGGTTTAATGCCATTTTAATGCCGCTGCACTTCTCCCAGATTGTAGCTGACCGCAAACAGTGCAGCAGACAGGAGGCCGGCTTGTTTTGTTTTTATGACCGAAATTGCGGAAAACAACTCGTGAAGTTTGACCCGCTAGAAGAGCGAGGTGCGCGAGAACGCTGGGAGCCTTTTTCCAGCTGAATCTCCGCTCTTTTTGCCCTCATGTCCCTTCGTCGTCGGACTAAACTCGCCCCTACTTCCTCACTGCCTCGGCCGTATCTAGACCCACAGTGTGTAGCTCAGACCACGCTTCAATACTGAGCATAATTTAAAAATGTCTGTGTGAAGCTTGCTGCAACAAACTGCTGTAAGAGTATAACCAGGAAGCGCGGTAGGAGGGCAAAATAGGTTTAGCGGCACCGCAGCACGGGAGGGAGAATTACGCCCAGGAGCAAATGGATAAAAATAGACCGGAGGAAAAAAAAACATGAATCGATTATCTTGCGGACCTGTCGATGCATCGGATCGTCGGCTTTTGGATCGATGCATCGATACAAAACGATTATTATTTACACCCCTAGTAGACAGCTCACAATTAATTGAAAAATCCTTGTTTTTGTGTAAATACAATACAATACAATGTATTTTTTCATGTAGATTATTTATAATAGTATGAATAATAGAATTGAGAGTTTCAAAATTAAACAGTGTTTATGAATTAATAAACCCTTTAAAAACAGGTACTAATTTCTCAGAGATCATTTTGACCCGACTAACTTTCTCCTTTTTCAGCAATACTTATTCAAAAAAATTAATTTAAAAATAAAATATGCTAACATCCTCTTAATTAATTACAGATTCTAAGCCAAGTTCAACATGGCAGACAACACTGACTAAGCAGAGATGTTGTACCTTAAAGCAGGGATTAAGGATTTACACACAGTAGACGTGGAGAAAAGTGATTAGCATGAGCAGTAGCAGTAAGCACATACTAACATACATGCACGAAATCCTGGTGTGAACAAATGCTTTAGTAGCATACAGTTAATACATCCACATCTGCATTGACAAAGGCCAGCAAGTTCTTCTATTGCTGGATGTTAACCAGACACTTGCTCCGTGTTACAGTATTATCTTTGTTTTGAATTGTATTAATCTCACAAGTGAAAGCCAACACATTGACAACAAGGTTCATAAAAGTTTAAAAACATAATATAGAATACAAATTGAAATAAAAAATTGCTTAAATGTCAAGTCCATGCAAGGCAACCTTTAGTCATATTTTCATAAACATCTTCTATATATCACAAATTAGAGCATTGTGCTTTTTTCCCCCCAAAGTCATCAAATAATAAATTTGCCTTCTGAATATTATATGTAAAAGAGAAAAGAATTGTTGCACTTGTCTTCCTAAGTCTAAACTTTTCCACAACAGACTCTTAACCAGTACAGCTGCCAGCACAGCACTGATTTTATTATGTGGGGTTTAATAATAATCATTACTATAAGAAAAAGTTTTAACTTAGCACGTTTTGGATACAGGAAAAGGGCAAGATGTCCTTACTGCTCTTGCATTTTTTTAAGTATGATATTTAACACCATGCAGCTCCTGTCCTTATCGCTCAGCTGGACAACCTCCGCAGATCTAACGGGGAGCGCAGAGGTGGTAGCCCTGCCAAATAGGACAGAGATCAGTGTGAGCTCACAGCGGATTGAGTCTAAGTAGCTGCATCTAAATACCCAGATGGGTATGACCCTAACGCACATAAGCAGAGATCAAAAGCGCCACAAAGGAGACGCCCGAAATGATGCGTCTGTGCGCAAAGAGACCAGGAAGGACACATGAGCAGAGGACGGATGGATAGATCCCCTCCACCCTGCAGAATTCTTTCAAAAGTAAGACCATCCCGCCTCACTGCAACCCAAGATAGAAAAGCGCAAACTGCGCCTGAACACGCTGCATTGGAAAGGGTTTAAAAATAACCATCCTTGCTTCACCTACCTCACTCTGAGTCCTCATCCTACTCACACTGGTGTCGCTTCCGATACGTTTCTGCTCTGCTTCAGCATCCCCGGGCTTTGCTGCTGACAGAGGTGGTGGGGGACAGAATCATGACGTTGGTGCGCAAGGCTGACGCGCCGACCAATCAAAGTGTAATCCGATAAATTCCTCACCAATCCACTCAAGTGGAGAAAGTGAAGGGTGCGCTCGGCTGCAGTCATAGTAGCAAGGTAGATTGACGCTGTGTGAGAATTTATAGTCAGCCCATGCGAGCTGTTTTCAGTCACCATGCGCTTCAAATGTCACAGCCCCACTAAGAGAACATAGTGTTTGGTTATAATCATGGTTGATGAGAAAGTAACTAAACAAAATATTAGTATATAATCTTATATATAATCATGACAATAAACAATAAAAACTATTGACAGATTTGCAAAATAAATAAATGTACTTTTACTGCTTTGTCCAATTTACTAGGTTATGGAAAATGCATTTCAATATTTAAGGGACTTTTAAAGTTTCTAAAGAAGCTGACCAGCACCTTGACTTTTTACACTTTCTTAAAGTTCTAATAGGAGTAGGAGTATTTGTTGTTGCATTTTGCCAGTATTGTTAGGTTTCTGTATTCTGTCATGTTTTTCTTTCGAGTATCCAGTTTTACTTTTCTCCTTGTTTCCTAGTTTTTATGGTTTAATTCTTAGTTTATTGTGTTCTTTGGTTTTTTTCTCAGTTACTGTCCTAGTCTTATTTCGGTTATATTTTCTTTTTAGAGTTTTGCTTTGCTCCTTGTTTTCTAGTGTTAGTGGTTTAATTTGTATTTAGTTGAGTTTTCTAGTTATTTCCAGTCTTCCAGGTTTTTCATTTTTTTCCCACTGCTGCCCTCTTTTGTTCTTTTTCCCTAGCTCTTTTCCTCTCTTGCTCTGTGCACACCTGCTACCAGTTTGCTCATTAGCCCTCTCTTTGTTTCTGTCTCCTATTAATACTCTTGCTATTTAGTTCCTTTTTGCTAGGTCCTCGTCTAACTCTGTCATACTACCTCCTACTCGTCTCTTTGAGCCTCCCTCCTTGTGATTTTGATTCCCCTGATGTCACCATGGTTTTTTGGTATGTTTAGACTAGTCTTTTGATATTTTTTTGATCTTTGGACTTTGGACTCCTGGTTTTACGTTTGTTTGGACTTTGTTTTCTTTTTGATTTTTTGATTCCTGGTTTCCCTGTTTATTTGGACTTTGGTTTTCATTTTGGTTATTTGGATAACCTGCCTGTTTTCAATTCCTATTTAAAATTCATCATTAAATCAACTAGAAATTCACCTCTGCCTTCCTGCCTCTGCTTTGGATCAACAATCCACTAACGAATCCTGCCAAGTATATTTTGTCTCTATTTTGTTGGAAACATACATTTAACTGTTTTTACAGTCCATGACTGTATCTGTTTGGTCTTCCTTTTCAGTGCACCAATCTAGGATTTCTTTAAAAATACACATAAATCTGGTGCATTGATAGAACCAGGGACTGATGAAAGGAAGCATTTGTCTTTCAAAATCACATCTTTTAGCCAGGTATAAAGGCAACGTTAAAACGTGAAAGTTAACAACAAATTATTTTGCAGCTTTCTTTTTACAGATAAGTGGGTGATTGCCCCTTTTCATCTTTGTTTGTGTGTATTTCTTTTTGACATTTATGTATGCACTAGATGTCTACACTGAGTGTCAGTGTTTTTTTTTTTGTACAGGTTGTCATGAGCCCCTTTGTTTACTCACCGTGGGCTTTGTTGTGTGTGTGTGTGTGTGTGTGTGTGTGTGTTTTTTGTTTTATTTTTGCATTCATGCAATGTACTTTCAAACAAAACTTACTCTTCCTTACTCATCACTAGCCACTTGGTTTATTACCTTCCCATTATTTATATTTTTTGCTTTACTTCTTGCAGAGTCAGAAACACTAAAATGTGATAACTATATATTGATCGAGGTATTTTGTATACATTAATATAGAGTGTGTATAGTGAAAGATGCAACTTCTTTGCAAAGGTTTATGATTTTCTGTTTAAATTTAATAAAGCATAATTAAATTTCTTTGCTTATTTAATCCTGCCATGATCCACAGATGTTTATGGTTTTGCACCTTTTTTTTGTACTCACCTGATTTCCATAATATCAATTAAGACTTTTTTGTATTTAGATTTCTGGTTTATGGACTATTGTTGCTGAAATCTTCTGTTTCTCTGCCCAGATTCGGGGTCCTTGTTGTTTCCCTCAGTTCAGTAACATTGTGGTTTCCTCAATATTCCAGTCTTTGCCTTGGACCTTTTTCAACTTCACCAAATATGACAAATGAAGCTAAGGCGGAAATTCAACTGAAGAAACTCTGATTACTTCCATTCAATCTGAGGCTGATCCGCCTCCGACGCAGCCAACCCGCTTCAAGCCACTTTCCTTGATGCCCAATCATCTTCCAGCACTCTACTTAAAGCCACTCCAAATCATCTCTAGGCCTGCTCTTCAACAAGCGCAAGATCCATCGCTCCTATGTCGGACTTTGATTCAGACAACCCACCTCCATCCCCTTCTCCACCATTGTAGTAAGCTCATCCGACTCCTCCTCGATGCTCCTTCAACCTCACCTCCAGTGTGTACTCCCTCCAGACTTTCATGGAGTTCCCTGTCACTTTAAACGGTCCGGCAGAAGACCGCCACGTTGAGCCTGGTTCTGCCAGAGATTTCTTCCCAAAGGGGAGTTTTTTCTCTCCACAGTCGCTTCATGCTTGCTCTTCATGGACAGTTTATGCAAACTTTGTTCATTCAGTGACATCTAACTCAAGCATCACCCTGTATACCAGCCTCTATGGATTAACCAAACTTCACCTATCTAAACTCCACCACCAGTTTCAGGCCCGGGGGGAATATCCTTATTCTCATACATCAGTTTATCTGCATTAAAGTATAAATCAGCGTTTATGTTTCCTGCCGAGGCCTGAGCGCCAAAGTTCAAACTATTGTATCAATAAACTCTTCTAATTGCATCTTTCTCTCTCTGTGAGTTTTTCAGATTGAAATACCAAACCCTTACTTGTAACTACTGATAATTATATTATATTAACCTGTCTATCAAAGTGAGTGTATGACACTTCCTACTTTTGCATGTACTTGTCAAAGAAGGCATTACTAAAAAAAAAAACAGAGTTAGGACTTTAAAATTAATAAAGTAGAATTGGAAACAGATATCTTAGTTATCAGGCTTCTCTCATGTGGAACCAACTACCAGTTTTAGTCTGTGAGGCAGACACCCTGTCTACTTTTAAGGGTAGGCTTAAAACTTTCCTTTTTGATAAAGCTTATAGTTAGAGTGGCTCAGGTTATCCTGAGCTATCTTTATAGTTATGCTGCTATAGGCTTAGACTGCTGGAGGACATAGGGACCCCTTTTTCATTTCTGCTCCATTCTATCTTTATTCTCTCACTCTGCAGAATTTGTTTGTTCAATCTCTAGTGCAATGCTCTCTCTGCTTTTTCATTATAGTAATTTCATCTGGTCTGTTTCTGTTTGGCTGTAATGCCATCCTGGAGAGAAATATCAGCTGTGCTGCTGCCATCAAGACCTTTGTGTATAGATATTCAACATTGGCCTGTTTTTCAGTGTAGTCCTGTTTCTCTGATTGTCTGGATGTGCCCTCTTCATCCTCTGACATGGGAGCTGTCTCAGAGTTCATCTGCTGGCTGTGTGTTTCCTGGATGGGGCCACCTGGGTAGCTGGTTGACAGTTGCCTTTTGTATCTCTGCTGCTTTCTGTATCTCTGCTTCTGTCTCCTTGAACCCCAGTCGGCCTCTGCAGATGGCCGCTCACACTGAGTCTGGTTCTGCTGGTGGTTTCTTCCTATTAAAAGGGAGTTTTTTACTCTCCACTGTTAGTTCAGTGCACAAATCTTTGAGTCAATGACTCGATCATATCAACTGGTTTTCCTTAGAACATTTTGAATCAATTTGACTGTATAATTTGGTTGAATTGTAAAGTGCCTTGAGATGACGTGTTGCGAATTGGTGCTATATAAATAAACTGAATTGAATTGAATTATGGGTAAAAAGATCTAGACTTTTTTTTTTTTTAAGGCAATCATACCTTTCCTTTAAGTATCTCCCATCCACTTAAGCACTGGTCAGACTTGTGCAGACTTGGACTCATTATTATTTGAACTGGTATTTGCATTTAGCTGACTGATGGTGTGCACTGTGCCTTAATTTCTGGATTGCAAGCTCAATTGTAATAGTTAGTAAATCATTTTTGTGTTAATGTTGCATCAAAATGACAAAAAAAGTTAAATTATGACACACAATACATAAAGTGGGGATTCTAGCATACCATGATCATGATAGCTGACCAAACATGAGGACAGGTTTGAGGCTTTGGATACAGAGACCATAAGAAAGAAACGAATGGTATACAGCTGCCTAACAAAACTGCAAGTGCAAAGAACAACTATGAGACAGGACTAAACATGCCAGACAAACAAAACAAAACATTAGGAATTAACATTTTATTGCCCTTTGATCAGCAATATTTCAGATGAAGCAGCCTGAGACCAGGACACAATCAGAAAAGCTCTCTTACAAAGGAAAGTAAACCGTCTATTTTAAAAAATACACATTTTTCAATGTAAAATATATTCAGTTCAATGTAGGATACACTTCTCAATTAATTCAATTATATTATATACTTTCATTGTTATAAATAATATATTATTAAGTTTTTTTTTTTCATTCTAGCACACCAGGTGCAAATACTAATGCTTAAAAATTTTCTGTTAATAGCTGGACCTGCTGAAATAATACAAAATTGAAGGAAACAAAGAGAGATTAAATTTTATGGATGTGGAATTAGTTTGTAAATAAGATACACAAATCTTAGAAGAAAACAGCACTGAGCTGAATGATATAATTATAACTTTGTAATGATCAGAAGTTAAATGCTGAATGGTTTGACAGCAGGACAACTGCCTATCATCGAAAACCAACCAAACACTGCAGTTAACTTTAAACTGACACAGAGAATAATCTTCAAAAAAAATCTTCTAAATCCACCTTTTACATATTTTCTGCACTTTTATTTACCTTTCCTCCACTTACAAATACACCCTGTTTTTTCTCACAATTTACAAATATATACAGTTTTCCTTTCCGCTCCTGATAGTTACTCTTGCTTTTCTTACATTACTTAACCCACTTAACTTAATCTGACCTTCAGCATAACACTTTCCTAACTGTACCAACAACAGTCTTACATTATCCATAAGTCCTTTTATATATATTTTATCATATTTGACTACAATCTGAAAGTGAAAAATCACATTTCAAAGGACACTTCTGGGAACAGCCTTTCTATGTTGAAGATCGGGCGACATGGGGGAGCTGTCTGGAGGGGGCCACTGTGGTTTTATCAGCTGAATGTCTTCCTCTATACTAAAGGTTTTCTTTGGTGGTTCGCCCTGTGGGGGCCAAACAATGGTTATTTTGTTGCAGTGCTGCTGGCTTTTATTAAATGTTTTTGTCATTTCATTTTCAACTCTGTGGGGTTTATCAACGGAATTTGAATTATGCATTGAATATCTCAAATAATTTTTTTCTTCAAGGGGGTTTGGTCCAGTGCTTCCCCCAGGATGGTTTTGTCCAAGACCACTGTCGTAGATTCCTTTGGATTTGAGAAGTTGCTTATAATGGGGTAGGCAGTAAAAATGTCCGTGGAGAGAGACGTAATTTCCCAAACTGCAAAAGCAAAAAGAAGAAAAGAATATATTTTCTGCAACTCTGTTGTCATGAAATAGTGTTTACGTATTTTTGATTTGTAAGAGAAAACAGAGCCCATACAAAGAAAATAATTTACATTTATATATCAGGAGGCAAAACAAAAACAGAGAGGGAACATTGCATTTATCTCACATTTACCTTAATTTATTTCTGCAGTGCTCACAGCAGAAACAAGATTTATGGTACTTTTTTCTGTCCACCATCAGAGCATCCATCGGATAAGCCCTCCTCCAACATATCGTGCAGAGCTCCGACCTCGGAACCCGAATCTGCTTTCCAAAGAGATTAAATAAGGTTTGTGAAGTCTAAGTGTGCAGCTTTGCAAACTATTTGCACTGTAGTAAAAATTATAAAGATAAAATAAATATTTATATTTTAAATGTCCCTTTCAGAGCAGTTATGAAAATACAGATTTTTTGCTGAACACTGATCCACTCACATGCATATAAAAAACATGCATTTCTCAGAAGTTTTTTTATTTTTATTTCTAAAAACTATTTAATTCAGACAAGGCATAATGTTCCAAAAAAAATATAATTTTCAGGTTTAAAACTGTACCACATTTTATTCTGTTGTGATATAATTTTATGGATCTGTAGTTATCTTGTCAAAAATGTTGCTTCATCCAACATTTTTACTTAAAAGTATAGTGGAGGATTTTCGGGAATTTTCGAAAAGACCTTCCCTCTCCACTTTAGAAAATGCACATGCACAACCCTGTACCTCCTGAGAGGGAGCGCCTATTAAACGTGTGCAAGAGCATGCATGAGCCCATTTATCTTCGTGCATGTTCTGTTTAAAAGATGCTGTTTGCATCACTCATACAAGCTTACTTAAAAAAAAAAAGATTTGCAATTTTTCCACTATGTTAGACTCACCACTGGTAAGAGAAAATGGGGAAGAGCACGTAGGACGGCCTTACGTAAACATATCACCGGAATAAATGACAATTAGGATTACCACTTATTTTGATGGAAAAAGAAAATCCTCCACTATTTTTTAGTTGAGTAAAACACTGAAAGTGGAAAGTAGTCATCAAATAAATAAAAAGCAATAAAAAGCAAAATAAGTTTTTGGTAAAATTGGATATACTCAATTACAGAGTAATTGTTGGCTCTTAACATCTGATTTCAGATCTAAATGTTATCAAAAAGGAAGTTATGGTAAATTGTGCTATTTTAAAATTTAAAAAGAGCAAAAATAGAAATGAAATCCTAGTTTTATTAATTTTATTCTTTTTATGTTATCATAACTTTGTGACCTTCCTTGTACAGTGGTTTGTGACATTGTGTATAAAAGGTGCATAGATTTGACTGCCTTATTTATGTAGCAGCTTAGTTAACCCATACATAAATATTTTATGTACCTTTCTTTTTTTCTTATGTTCTTTGTCATCATTTAGATCTTAATATCAATTGTAAGTAATCATATGTGCAGATCAGGATTATACTTGTCAATGATACAGAGTCATTAATGGGTCCCAATCCAACACTTTATTAAATGCGATGCATGGCACATACTGAAAAATGAAATAAGTTTAGCATTAAGAAATACAACATACTGCATTTCATCTTAGTGCATTTTAATAAACTCGCATTGTTCTTGTGATAGTCATTTACCTCTATGGTGACCTTTTTTTTGCATGCCAAGCCAAAGTCTTCAATAGACATTTTGTGCTTGAGGATATTTTTAGTATGAGAAGTTTGTGGAAGTTTAAGCAGTTGCTTGTCTGCTTATTAATTTAATAGCTTGCCGATAGATTGGTTCCTACCACATTACAAAGCTCTTTTAATTAATACTATAATAACAGGATTCAAAATATACATTCTTACTTCCCTAATTCACAGCTTTGCTTTGAACAGCATTTAAATAACTGGATAATATTTAAGGACTGGATTAAAATATGATTTGTTAGATTAAAAAAATAATGTAATAAAGTTCTGCAATATGTGCAAATTTGGCCACAATAGTAAAAAAGAAAAGAAAGAGTACAGTAGAATATTGAGAATAATATAGTGAAATGTTTTAGTAGTTATCATCTTACATAAACCTTGATTAGAACCCTCATCTGATCCCAGTGGTGCTTAATTTACATTCATAATCCATAATTCAACATTTATATTACAACATAATCAGCATTTCTGAGTTAAAAGGCACTGAATGAGATAGTATTCAGAATGTTGTTAATATAGCGAAATATTATTTCATCCATCCATCCATTTTCTGACACGCTTAATCCCAAGTGGGGTAGTGAGGGGTGCTGGTGCCTATCTCCAGCTGTCACATATTATTTAACCAAATCATAAAGAAAATAAATGGATCTTCTACATACAGTGTGATGTTATATTCATTTCAGATGTGGTCAGCAGCATTTGAATCTATGTTTGGATGAGAAAGGGGCTTTAGTATCGACTGAAAAACCCACTGTTTAAAAATATGTTTGCTAAAATGTTAGTCTTTACCAAAAGAACCTAGTGTATCTTGTGAGGATTTAAGATTCATTACTGGGTATAAATTTGTTGATCCTAGTAAGGCTTTGCCTGAAGATTTTCTAAAGAGCAAACAATACAGAGAAAAGCTTAATACAGAAAAAAAACTAAAAAGTAGTTTTCGTCAGAATTGGGGGAGTAATGTTAAAAATGAAGAACAAAACAGGAAAACAGTGAAGAAACAAAAATGAAGCAAGGTTGAAAAATCAGGTAGCAGCTGGACAACCTTAATATTTTAGTTTATTTCATCTAAAATAATCTCTTTTCAGTTTATGTCATGATTGATTCTGAACAAAGCTATGAGTTCAGTAATATCAGCAGCAGAGAATAAGAATAGCTAAGAATAGCGCACAATAGTCCATATTTGGACCAAGTGACAGCAACATGCCATAACATGAAACCATGCACTTGTTGAGCAACACAGCTGAACAGATGCCAGTTCAAGCTTTAAAGGAATGGCACACATGCATACATAGCTCAACTCATATAACAACCCACATTGGGTAATGGCTCACATGTAATCAATGATATTCATTGGCTGAGGGATATTAAAGGTAGCATATCAGAAATGTTTCCATATTTCTCTTTAGCAGATTTGCAGACATCTCTGTCAGGCCTTTGTTGGTGCTTTTCATTGTATAGAGTGCAAAAACAATCTTGCATAACCACATAGTCCATGCTATTAATTTCTGCTTTTCCGTGGCATGCGGTCTTTACCCAATGAGACAGTCGTTGTCTGATGTAGCACAGCTTTTGACGATGATTCTTCACAAACAGTGTAGCCAAGGTTCTTGAAAACTGTCTCGCTCTCTGTCCATGTTTTATGAAAATTTCTCAGCAGCTTTTCTGTGGCATCCTCATCATAAGTTTCTGCTCGCCTGGCAGCTTTCTTTTTCACGGCATCGGCGTAAGAAAAAGGGACCTGAGAGGTTGAGATGCTTTCGGAGTGCTGAGTGATAGCTGTCACTGTTCCAGTTAGTTTGTTGCCAAATTCATCAACATCTGAAAAATGCTCTGTGATTGTTTTGGTTTCTGCAAGGGCAGAAGGTTGTGCAAGGATTGTTTCTGTATTCCTTTTCAGAAAATGCAGGGGGGTACTTTGCCTTGAGCCTTCTTTGGTCTCTTGAGGCCTTTCCAGGACTGAGGTGTCTACTCTTGTTTCACTTAGGATTGACACCATCTCCTCCTTATCTTTTCTCTCCTCTGTAACAGAGGAGTTTTGCTTATCTATTTCAAAAACATTTCTAATCGCTTGAATGTTAAAACTTGGCATTTCCTGTTGTAGGATGCCTGCTTTTTCTTTATCGCATTCTGAGCTTTCTGTGTCACTGTGTAGGCACTCTGCAGGTGGGGTGAGTTCTTCTCTGTTATAAAGGGTCTCTTCTGGGGATTCAGTTTTGTTTACAAAGCTTGACAAGTCTGACCCGAGAGATTCATCTTTTTCTGTGTTTTTGTTTTCTGCCTCACAATCTACCATGTCAGGGCCCAGGCGTTCAGTGAGAGTGATGGGCTCCTTGTGCACAGAGATCTTATTAAGCTCTGCTTTTTGTGCCCCTTCAAAAAAATCCCGCTTTTCTTTGAAAGAAGCAGATATTAGATCAGAATCATCCGAATCCTCTGCAGCATTTGGCTCTTTTTGGAGCACATCATTTTCCGAAATAGTTTGTGCGATGTTTGTGTTTGAGTTCAGTGACCCAATCAGTTGCCCTGAAGTTTCCATAATTTGAGAATCAATTTTGATTTGCTGCTGAAAAGCTGTAGGCATTTCCACCACCTCAGATTTTTTCTCAGTAATTTGATGGGTGAGTAATGGTGGGGGTGTAACAACCCGCGAAAGCTTTGCTGTAGTTTCTTTGAGCCGAGCCAAATTTTCTGCCTTATCAAAAGTTGGTGAAGGTGTGATTCTCATGATTCGTGATGTTGGGGTGTCACATCTGCGTGGTGGAGGTGTTGGAGGGGTGGGCGGTCTGTGGAGCAGGGTGGGTGATGGAGTCACTCTTTGAGGCGAGTCTATTCTTCGCATGGACTCGATTGTTATAAATGTTGGAGAGGGAGGACGCATTCTGAGTGAGGGTGATGGAGCTTGAAGGTCGATGGATTTGCACAAACTCGTTTCTTCTCTCCTTATTTCACTTGAGGTGCTTTTAAAGGTCTGTTGTTCTGTTTTGGAGGAACAAATACTGATTTGTGATATGTTTTGCCCCACCAAGACAGAACCTTCTTTTTCTCCCTCACATTTGCGCATCTCAAATGTTTTGTCTGCAAGATCCATTAGTTTGGATTCTGCAAGTTTCCTAATATTCAACAGAATTTCTTCATCTTTCTCAGCATCACTTTCAGCAGCTCTTTGCTCCAACTTTTGCTTCATTTCTGGAGTGATGATCCAATCTGGCGTTGAGTTTAACAGCCTTTTTACAGATTTAGATACAGTGTTCTCTGAACTGCTTTGTATCTCTGTGATTTGAGAGATTAACACTTGCACGTCATGTCTCTGAGATCCCTTTATTCTCTCCTCCGTGAGATTTACAAGTTCATTTTGCTCTGACTTGCCTGTCACAGTAATTGGGACATTCCTGCTTTCTTTTGGTTGTTCCTTTGCGCTCTGTTGAATAGCTGTCACTTCTTTCTTTTGAGATTCCTTCTGTTGCGTTTGAGGTGCTTTTTGTTGCAGAGACTTTTTATCTTCTTTTGTGCCAGTGGTAATAGCCTCTCTCTTGATTTCAACATGCTCCACTTTTGTACCTTTGTGAATTTGGCCGATTGCTATTGTTTCATGTGCTCTTTGAGTCATTTCATTTGCTAGTCTCTTTGTTCCTGTGTTCGATTCAGTGACATTTTCTTTACTCTGACCTTGCTGTGCAGCCCCTTTAGACTTTTTAGATTTCTTCTTCTTCTTTGTTGGAGCTTGAGTTTCTAGCTGATTGCCATTACTGATCTGAGGTGTTGCAGCCAGAGCAGGGATAGGAATATCTTCCTTTATTTCTGGTTTTATCTCTGCTGCTTCAAGCTGTTTCACTTTGAAATCTTTTGAAACACTGCACCTCTCACTTTCATTGCAATTGCTTGTCTCAACTGGTGCTTCTTGTTTGTTGTTGTTCTTTTTTGACTTTTGATTTTGTTTGCTCACTTTTCCTTTTGCATTGGTGGACGTCTTTTCGATTTGCTGATCTGACACATTTTCTTGGCTCTTATTTGTAGACAGGTTTTTGTTTTTTGTTTCATCTTTAGAAACATTGTTAAGTACTTGGTTTGTCTTGGTTTCATCTTTTCTTTGATCTTCTGATTTTGTTTTTTGGTTTTTAATTTCTTTCTTTCCTTGGCCAGTTACACAACGGACAGCTGTCTCGACTTTATCAGTCTGGTCAGACTGTGCCATCTGATCAGATGACACAGTTACAGTTTTTTTTGTCGTTGTCTGCAAATGTTGTTCAACAGCTAAGATGGATGTGGTCTGCTGACCGGAAACAATCTTAGTGGTCTCATTTGTTATAATTTGCTGTTTTGCAGATGATATAACTGCAGAACCTGTAGAGACTTTCTCATGTTGAAACTTAACATTACTTTGGGCTGTATCTGATACCAAAACCTGCACTGAGGAGTCTGAGTGGGCTTGTGCTTTTGTAATTTCACTTCCTTCTTGTATGATTCCTGAGACACAGTGTTTAGTTTGATCCTTAGAGGACAGCATTTCAAAAGCAGCACGAAAAGAATCATGTGTGAGAGTGGGAGATGGAGTGGTTGGGGGTGTGTTTTCGTCCTTAAGTTTCCTGTATTTCTCCTCTGCTTTTATTAATGGTGTGTTGAACTTACTTGCTTTTCCTCTCATGAATGGTGGAGGGGAAGGTGGTGGAGTGAACTTTACAGGAGCAATGTAAACTTTCTTTAACGGTAGTGGTGAATCTGCTGGTGGAATTGGGGATGGTGGTGGTGTAAATTTAACAGGCACAGTGTGAAACTTTGTTAGTGGTTTAGGGGTTTCTGGGGGTGAGGGTAGGACTTCATGGGAGACTCTTTTTGAAAAGTCCATGGATGCTTCTTTTTCATTTTGGGTCTTCTGCACAGTTTTTTCAGATGTTGTCTGCACCTGTTTCTTTTTACCTAATTCTACTTTAGCCTCCAACTTTGGAACTGGATGCAAAGCAGGAGCTTTCACCTTTTTCACTGTCATTCGCTTTGCTGTTAATGGAGAAGCAGGGACTGCCTGCACTTTGATACCTTCCAGTTCTTGCTGAGGTGGTGGAAGTGGGAGGAAATCTTGCTCCCCAGTGAGTGGTGGTGGTGGGGGAGGAAGATGGTCACTGTCAGTATCAGCTGCTGGTGGAAGAGGACTGGGAGGGGGAGGAAGAAGTTCAGCTTCTGTAACAGGTGGTGGTGGCGGCGGTAAAGGCAGATCAGGCTCCTCTGATTGTAACTTTAAAAAGTAGTTGTCAGTTTTTACTTTTGCTTTTGCCAGTTTGTCCATACTTTTTTGGTTAGATTTCAGATTGCGAAACTCTGTTTTTACAGTTTTTATGCCATGGTTTTGGGTAATAGTTTTGTGCTCTACCACTGTGGATGTCTTTATTTCAACATTATCTGACTGATTAGCGATCACTTGATTTTCCTTAAATGTTTCAACTTGTTTTGCTGTTTTTATCTTTTGTATGTTCCTCTGGGAGTCTGGTTTCAGGTTTTTCACAGGGGGGCCTTGCTTGACTTTAACCCTTCTGTATGCTCCATGTCTGACTTTGGGAGTTTCCCGCCGTGCTGTTTCCATCAGTGATTTGATTGTGCCTTTAACATCACCCTTTATTACTTCCTCTTTCTCTTGTTGGGTTTGCTCCTGTGTCTCATATAATGACCTGATTGACAATTTGACGTCACCCTTTACATCATCTTCAAGGCTGAATTTATGTTGGGTCCTTTGTGATACTGGGGGCTCCATGAAGAGTTGAATGGTTCCTTTGACATCGCCTTGAACATCTATTTCCTGCTGACATATTTTCCTCTCACTGGAGGCATCTTGTAGACTTTGCATTGCCATGTTAATATCACCTCGCAAAATTTCTTCTTTTTCAACTTCCCTCACTGCTTGCTTTGCCAGTTCCAGGGATTTCAGGGTACCCTTTACATTTCCAGGAACTAAATCCTCAGCAACAAGAGCTCCAACTTTTGAGGTGGATGATTTCTCCAGAGATCTAAGAGCACCTCTAATATTTCCTGGAATAATATCTGGCTTCTCCACCTCTTTGTTTCGTCTCTGAGCCCTTTCCAAACATCGCAGAGCTTTTGGGATATTGCCTTTTACTACCTCCTCCTTTTCCACAACCACTGTCTGATTTACTGATTCAGACAATGAGCTCAAAGCAGCTTTTAAATCCCCTTTAACTATTTCCTCCTTCTGGATTCTTTCCAATGAGACTGTTGGCTCTGACATGAAAACTTTCAATGCATTGTGAACATCCCCTGGTATAACATCTTCTACTGTGCGCTCAATTTGCATTTGTTGTTGGCACAGGATAGATTTGGTATTCTTGATGTCGCCCCCAATGATCTTCTCTTTTTGAGCTGCTTCATCTAGAGTTTCATCAGATCCCAACTGCAGCTGTTTGAGATAATCAAGAGCTCCAGATTCAATGCATGTGGAGAAAAAACTGACATTTCCTCTTTCAGCGTCATCTATCTTTATTTTTATTGCTTGATCTGTTGTGTCTGAGCTAGTAAGCCTTTCAAGAGCACTCTTAATGTCCCCTTTAACAACATCTTCCTTTTCAACATTGATACTCTGGTCTTTATGCAGAAGGGAATACAGTGTCATTCGTACATCTCCTTTTTCATCCTCTTGAATAAGTATACCCTGTTTCGCTGATCCACTCTCACTTAGGAGTTTGTTGATGGCTTCTTGAATGTCACCATGTAAAATGTCCTCCTTTTCAATACTGCTTCCTGTCTCTCGGTTCAAGAGTTGCTCCACAGTCAAACTTATGTTACCCTTCTCCTCTGACTCTATGACTATTTGCTGCTTATTTTTTTCCTCTCTGTTCAGAAGGTTCATCATAATAGTCTGCAGATTGCCCCTGATGATTTCCTCTCTCTGTATCTCTGGAGTCTGCTTATTCATGAGCTGGTATTTGGCCATTCTTACATCGCCAATTTCATCAGCCTCAATTAGTATTCCCTTTGAACTTACTATTTTTTGACTGTAAAGTTCCTCAAGAGTTCCCTTAATGCTTTTCCCCAATATTTCAGTCTTTTCTACCTTACTCTCACTGAAGCCATCAAATGGTGTTGTTTCAAAAAGCCATGTTGTTGTTTTTACATCTGCTTTGGGAATTTCTTCTTGAATGACAGATATGTTCTCATCCTCCTCCACTTCTTTGATATGGTCAAGAGGATGTTTCTCAAAAAGCCAGACAGAATGTTTAACATCTCCTTTTGCAACGTCCTCCTTTTTAACAGTTTCAATTAGATTTTCAGAGCTCATGCTTCTTATTTTGTCAATGGACTGGGTTTCAAATCTCCACTTTGCAGACCTGACATCCCCTCTTTGTATTTCACTAACATTAACAGTCGTAATAGATCCTTCTGGGAAGCTGTCAGTCTCAAAACGTTGTTTATTCACTCTAACATTTCCCCCTTGAATGTCCTCCACAGTTTTGATTAAAGGTTTCATTTCTTCTGCAATTCTATCAAGAGGTTGGGTCTCAAATTTCCATTTGGCAGATCTGACATCACCTTTTTGCACATCCTGCTGGGTTACAGATTTGATGATGTAGACCTCATCTGTGTCTTTTATTGCATCAAGTGGCTTTGTTTCAAACAACCACCGAGTTCCAACAACATTTCCCTTTTTCACCTCCTCACTTGTGACAGTAGTGACCTCGTGGTAGTTTCCCTCTCTGTCTTGTATGGCATAAAGGGGCTGTGTTTCAAACAACATTGTATAATTTCTCACATCACCTTTCTCTTCCTCATCAAAGACAATTTTGGATGTTTCTAATTTTTCAGTCTCAGAGGAAGCTTCGTGGATTTTATCTAAAGAATAAGTCTCAAAAATAAACCGACCCTTACTGACATCTCCTCGTTGTACATCATTGACAGTTTGACTACTCATACATTCCTCCTGGCTGTCATGAATTTGGTCAATGCACTGGTTCTCAAAGAGCCATTTACAGTTCACAACATTTCCTTTTTGTATGTCCTCGATCTGAACTCTCTTGAGGTTTTGCATTACCTCTTCTGAAGAAGATGTCATGATGTCTGATGTTTGGTTTTCGAAAATATACTTTTTTCTTGACACATCTCCAGATGCAATGTCTATCTCTGTAACATGTTTGTAAGACCCTTTCTCATTCCCACTCAAACTCTCTAGGTTTTCTGTCTCAAAGAGAAAGCAAGCCATTTTCACGTCTTGTCCTCTTATGTTCTCTTGGTTTATACTGCGTGTCTTCAAAACTGTTTCAGTTTCATCATGGATTGAATCAAGTGTTTGGGTCTCAAACAGCCACGTGCAGGTTTTGACATCTCCCTTACATATTTCCTCAAATTCATTTTCACCTTTTAGCTCTACTTTTTCATACAAGATATCCATTGGTTTTGTTTCAAATAACCATTTGCAAGTTTTTACATCCCCTTTTACAACATCAAAGTTTTTACTGGTCTCCATAGCTTCTTCATCTTCGATATTGCTGAAGTACTTAATTGCATCAAGAGGCTGTGTTTCAAACAGCCATTTTGCAGTCTTGACATTGCCAGACAAAACTTCATGTTTGGATATGCCCTTAATAATTTGGTATTTTTCAATGCTGTCATTAAACTGATCAACTGGTTGTGTTTCAAACATCCATTTGTAGGTTTTTACATCTCCCTTAACTATCTCCTCACGACGTACTGTTTTTACCTCATGGAAGTGACCTAAGCTATCTTGCATTGCATACAATGCAGCTGATTCAAACAGATTCTTATTTGACTTGACTGATCCTGATATAACATCCTCTATTTCAATCATTTGAGATTCCTTGCTCTTGTTTACGTCTATGCTCTCAAAGATTTGTTTGTAGTTTGACACATCCACTTTATCGATTTCTTCTAGGTCAATCGTTCGTATTACTTCTTTCTTCTCCTCTCTTATTTGCTCCAGTGGTTGGCTTTCGAACAGCCATTTCTGATGTCTCACATCACCCTTCTCCTCATTAGGTTGTATGGTCTTTTTCAGTTTCCCAACTTCCACCCAGTCCTTCAGGTCTTCACTTGGAATCATTTCAAAATATTCTCTAGCTGATCTCACATTACCGGCAATAATTTCTTCTTTTGTCAAGGAGCAAGTATTTGAGTCATCCTTTAATTTATCCATTGGCTGTGTCTCAAAGACCCAACAGTTCCTACGAACATCTGCCCTGCAGCTTGTTCCATCCTCATGCATGAGGTCATCTTCAACATTTACAGTACGAACTACCTCTTTCTTCTCTTCTCGTATTTGTTCTAGAGGCTGACTCTCAAAACGCCACTTCTGGTGTCTCACATCCCCTTTCATTTCTTCTTTTATTGCCACCTCTCTTAGTTTTCCAACCTCAGGGCCTATCTTCCGTGCTACTTCAGGACTGCTTTCAAAAAAATCTCTTGCAGATCTAACATTTCCTCCAATAATCTCTTCAATAGACTCAGATCTCACATCAGTGGAATAGTCTTTTGGTTGAGTTTCAAAGACTAAGCGGTGCTTCTGCACTTCAGCACCGATAACGTCTTTTTTCTCCATTTGCAAACTGTTCCAATCACTGATAGAATTTAAGGTCTTTATCTCAAACAGCCATCTACCCCAATTTCCCTTGCTGCTATCCTCCATTGACAGACTGCAGACAAGTTTAAAAGGAACAAATTCTGTCTTTGTCAGGTCTAGAGGTTGAGTGTCAAAAAGCCAACGTGAAGCTATAGAGTTCTCCAGTTCAGTTTCAATTTTACGCACAGATTTTATTTCCAGAATCTGGCTTGCTTGTCCCATAATGACACATTTAAACTGAGTGTCAAAAGTGCTGGTTATTATTTTAACTTCTCCATTGATCTCTTCCAACACTGAACGCAGGCTCAACATGTGTCTCTCATCAATAGTCTCCGTATGCCCCAGGCTTTCCATTAAGCTACTATCAATCATGTAAATAGAAGCATTTCCATCCTCTTGAGAAAACACAATCTCTTTGGTCAAATCTTCCTCCTTGTGCAGTTTGTTTAGAGTGTCCATGGTTTGAGTTTCAAACAACCAGGCTGCAGCACGGACATCACCCTTGTCAATTTTGTTAAATTTGTTTTTATATTCCATTGAGTTGGTATTCAGTGAGCCCAGCTCATCTATTGGCTTGGTCTCAAACATCCATGCTGTGCGCCTCACATCTTTACCCACAATTATTTCCTGTTTAGTAATTTTCTTGTTGTCTTCATCATCATCGGGAATTTCATCTTTAATTGCATCCAGGGGTTTATTTTCAAACATCCAACGCATTGCTTGGACTTCTCCAGGGAGTATCTCTTCCCACTCTTCATACTCCTCATCATAGACATCATCAGGACTAACATCATCTTCCTCATAGGCGTACACTTGTCTCTCTACCTGGTTGTTCTCTGTTTCTGTGTACTCACTGTAAAACTCTTTTTCAATATTCTTCCGAACCTCTGGATGAATATGTTTGTATAGACGTTTCAGCTCAGACATACCCTTCTGCTTGAAATAAGATTCTCGATTGTGTGCTTGTTTGTTTACTGGCTCTAGAGGCTTATGTGAGGGAGGGCTCACTGGAATATTTACACTGTCTGATGGCAATTGTAGTAAGTCTGGAGGAGGAGGTGGTAGATCTTCAGGTGGAGGAGGTGGAAAGTCCTCAACATCCATTGTTGAAGCATGTGTTGTCTCAGTAGCAAATTCCTTACACACCTCACTTGTCAGCTTGTTACTTTGATTCAAAGTTGAAGACCACTTTGACTGACTGATGTCACGTCCAATCTTTGTAGGGAATAAAAATATTTTTTTTGTAAAATATCATTTAAAATGTGTTTATGTAAAACATTGAATACATTGAACTATATTTGGTAAAAGCAAACGTGTATTTTCTATAATAAATAAAATTGACAATTTGCAGATCGGAAAAAAAAAACGTTGAGGGCTTTTTTCCTTCACTTTTTCAGACCATATCCTCTCCTTTTTGATGCAGTTAGTCCAAAGTAGCAGCTTTGTTGACCTTTTTTATTATTTTTAAGTTGATAGGCTAAATCTAAACAGGACCCCCCCCCCCCGCCCCCCAACAAAACAATAAACAAAAAAACAAACATCAATTAGGAAGGCCCTAGTCCTTTGCCCTATTAACTGTAACAGTTAAACATACACTGAAACACAGCCTTTCCTTACCCCCATCTACCAGCCAAGTCTTCCAAACACTCTAGATCAGGCATCCCCAAACTCGGTCCTCAAGGCCCCCTGTCCTGCAGGTTTTAGAGGTTTCCTTGCTCCAGCACAGCTGATTTTAATTGAAAGCTGATTAACAGGCTTTTGGTCTACTGCAATCATTATAACCAGCTGTGCTGAAGCAGAGAAACCTCTAAAACCTGCAGGACAGGGGGCCTTGAGGACCGAGTTTGGGGATGCCTGCTCTAGATAGTCTTCACATTAACTGCCATTACAGTCTTCACATTAACTGCCATCACGTATTTAAGATAGGAGATTGTAGACAGTAAAAATCATATTGGGCCTTCACTACGTATATTAATTTCTGCAATCTCCCAAGCCTAAAAAATTTAAGTCTAGAGTGTTCTATAACAAAATCAGTATTTTAATATATTTTAAAAATGATTACCTTAATTGGTTTTTGAGCAGCAGCCTCTTCTATTGTTCTTTCAAAGCGATCTCTCAGCTCCCTTGTTGTGTACCTTGGAAATTCTTCTTCTGATACTGGGGGAAAAATGACAACCAGGAAGATATTTATGTTAGCCTATCAAGGCCGGCCACAGAGAGCAACCATAAAAATGTTAATCTTTTAACATCCTGCCTGTTTCATTCTGGTGGTTTTCATAACTTGACGACAGGTTGTTGTTACTGCAGATAACCTGTATGTTTTAAACAAGAAATGGTTAGATAAAGGCATGTCACAAACTAATAGGCACATAACTCTAAGTACACAGCCTAAAATTCATATCTATATGAGTAAATAAACAAAATATATGATAAATGATTTTAATCTCGGTTTTTAGAGCATTATTTTTGATCATTTACATATATGTAAATATGCAGAGATCTTGTGCTTTTTTTGTATAATAAAGATTAGGTGGCAAGAAATGCTATAATAATCAGTTTTAACTTCACTAAAGTAACAAGGATGCAGTGCAGCATGAACACATTGATAAAAATGTTGTGCATACCATACTTTCTTGGACATTTAGCTGCTGACAGCCAGGGACAGCCTGTCTGCTTCCACTTGACAACGTTACCTCAGAGGTTGACATTTCCTGCAAGGGTTAAAAAAGGTATTTGTCAAAGATGATAGATCACATACCACCTCATAAATATTTAACTCTATTGATGGCTGCGTAATATACCTAACCGAAATTTACTAAGCAAGTCAAATCCTGATTGTAAACCAGGGAATGCCAGATGTCAGATGAAAAATGAAATTACTTACTACACATACTTCTATTAGCCGAGATTGGGTGATAGTACATGATTGTTAAGTGAGAGAAAAAAAGAATTTGAATGTAAAAAAAAAAAAAAAAAATCAACCATAAGTGTATTCAGCCCCTCAATGCAATAGTTTGTAATATTTTCAAAGTACTTAAGCCAGCATGTGTGTGTTTGCTTAGACATTTAGATGTCAAAATGCTCTACCTAATGTGCTTTGATAAACTGTTCAAACCCTGTCAGATTGGACAGAAAATATCTGTCAAATATTGATAAAAATGCTCCATCAGTTTGAACCCTATAGGGCAGGGGTAACCAATTAAAAAATCAGCGGAGTGCGAATACAGAAAATCCTCAACCAGTGAAGGCCCGAAGACAATTTTAATTATAATCTGTTATTTTAAACAGAATTTTACACTGAAATAAAATGAGATTTTTATGCATCAATGTTATAAAATAACTTTTTAAATAAAAAAAAGAAGAATCTAGACTGTTTTTTGAAGTAGAGAACAACAATTTCAGTTTGGTATATCGCCAATTTCCTGATGACCGCTGTACACTTATCTGTGACCTCTGCTATAGGGGATTTACCACTTATACATTACTTCATAGGAGGCCAGTGGTCAAGGAGAAAAAAACCAATAGTTATCATGCAAGAGCAGATCAGGGCAGAAGCTTTTGTCAAAGATCTTGCGCTTTTGGTCATGATCAATTTGTTATGATCATAGCTAAGGGGCACAAAAACATACTGGTAAACTGAGAGCTTTGCTTTTTGGTTTTGTTCTTTCTGCACAACAACAGACCAGAGCAGCACCCACATAAAAACAGAAGAAGCCAGAGTCCATAAATTGTGAAAAAGAGTCATAAACTCCTTCATTTGAGGCAAAGACTGCATCAAGACAAAGAAATATAATGTAATCTCACTGAAAGAGCCACTTCTTTCTCATGTCCCCTGGAGGGTGGCAAACAAATTTCCCCAAAGCAGGGGAGAGTAAAACCATTAGTTTTTGGACCAATACACTTTCTCACACTTTCTGACATGCAGAAAGGCATGCGTTAAAGTTTCTCCATACGCCTATGTTTTGAGGTATGGAATAAATGCTTAGACTTGCAGTGTTAAAGCTTGAAATACCATTACACAACCTTAATAATAACTGAACTTTATTGTTTTTTACATTGTAGAAATTTACCTCTGCATTTAACCCATCCCCTTGGGGAGCAGTGGGGTTCCCTTGTGTGGAGCCTTGGGAGGGGTGTGGGGTTAAAGGTTTTGCCCCAGATTGTAGACTGTAGGGTTCGAACCGAGTACTTGCAACCTTCTCGGAGTACAAGTGCACTGCTCGAACTAACTTTCAAATCTGCTTTTAAAGTCATCATAAGTATATCACTGGCTTTATAGTGCTATTAGTTTGTTAATGTTCTCTATAAAATCTCAAGGACTCGGCAAATAAGTTGTTTATACTTTTGGCATTTAATAAAATTTGGCACAGCTATATTTTTTACTAATTAGGTGACCATGAATGCCTTGTTTTTTAGGGGTATTAGAATGAAAACGGAAGAATGCAACAGCTAACCACACTATTGTGTTTAAAAATTATATACGTATATAAAAAAAGCTACTTTCTGTTGATTCATACCAAAAGAACCTACTATAAATCCCAGCAGACACGCTAAGTTGTCTTTATGGTATGTATGGTACAGTACATCAACGAGAAGTGCCTGCTGGGAAATTTCTTCAATTACTGATGCAAAACATTAAAGAGATGTTTGTATTTTTGTAAGGAACTATGCATACAACCTCACCAACAACTCAGTTCATTATTCTATTTATAAAACTCCCATTTACATGATTCAAATATTAAAGGTTAAGATGCATCAGAAACCAGCCAAGGTCCTTACAAAACACACTTTGCAGCTTATTTCCCCCAGAGCGTCTTGTAAGATCCTAATTCATCTTTGTACCTGCTCAGTTCTGTGTTGAAATTTGAACTGAGTTACAGTGTGTGATGTTGCAGCTTCCTGGGTATGAATTTGTTTCCTCATGCTTGTAAGTCCCCCAGGTAGGGAACAGACCTCCGAGTCCTCCATGACCTAATGAAGCAGGAAACACTGTTAGCTGCTTCCACTTTTACAGTCACATGGCTACTAAGTAGGGATTTTCTTACTGGGATGCAAGCAACATAAAAGGCAGTCAGTGTTGTGCAGATTAGTATGCAAACTCCTTAACAGTTGTTTAAATCTGTGAGCTATCTCCTGATAAGTCAGCTATTTTCATGCAAAGCATAATGCAAAAACTGACCCACAGTCACAGATGTGAAGGGGATTCTAACAGGTATTTCTATTTTATTTATCTCCTGTAAGATTTAGTTGCAATAGAAATAATTATCACAATGTGTAAGCAGTCTTACTATGCATCATGCGCATTACACATGACAGGACAGAATAGAAACAGTATATCTGCCTTTTTAGTGTAGCTTAAATATTCCGGTACAAAATGAAAGCAGCTTGCTTGATAGATGGCTTTAGTGTGCAAATCAAAAGGCTGGAATACCCTGTTGGTGATGGTGTGGTCTGTTCGCTTTGGGACAGCTGCCTGGGATATAGCCTCAAAGTTAGATTGCGGGATGAAGACTGAGTCCACAGAGTGAATCCTGATTCCTCTGGTTTAAAACTTTCCGGATATCCTGCTCTGGTTGAACCTGCACTGCCAGCGGCTGAGGTAGACATATACAAGAAATGTGCAAAATCTTAATTACCTGTTTTTTCCAGCAATTTAAAACCAATAATATATTATATATTTAGCTAAAGAAACAAGCATGTAAAGTTAGTACAGGAGAGAGAAAAAAAATTATTAATAGTTTTAAAGATTAAAGAAAATACCATACAAGTCCTAATGCTGCAAATAAATTAATTGTCCGCAGGCTCACAATTAAAATCAGTTGCACACCTGACTTCTGGCTTCCAGCTATTCGCAGGATGTGGAAGATTTATTTAAAAAGTGATAAACAACTGTACAATGTCAGTCACTATCATGATTTACTGGAATTTTTACTTTATGCCTCCTTAGAAGAAATATTGAGTTGCTGGTGAATGATAGTGGTAATCTATTTTTAATGTATAGCTCCATTTATTAAACTCTAAAATTAATGAGTACCCCTGTAGTTTCATGACCTATGAAACTATGTCTCATATCATTTCAAGTTTTAAGGTACTCAAGATTCAGATTGAAACTGTTGCACAAAAAGATTTTGCAAACCTTGCTTGCAGATCTTATTTAAGATCTAAATCGGATTGGATTTATTTAATTTGGTTGTCTGAAAGACACATTACCGGCTGCTCTTTTGGGTTTATTTCTAATTGTTAGGAAAAAGTGTTTTTTTTTTCTCTAATTGATAAACTCCAAAGACTCTAAACCCAAATTTTACACTCTTCTCCTATCTGGAAATATGTACTGTTAAAATCTGCTTGTAACAATAAGAAAATACACTATTAAAACTGTGTTATCTAAAATAGAGTAATGTTCTTTAAAACTGATCAAAATTTACTCAGATTTTCTAGGCAGTAGTTGCAGTAGCAACTGACAAATACAACCCAAATAAACGTGGAGGAAATTGCTTTTATGATGATAAATTGTAATTTTGCGTGTTTCAGTTTAGGGTTTAAAGGATGGATGTGTAAAAAAAAATCTTTGGCAAAATACTGGGTGAGAATGGATTCTGCTAAGTGAAATTTTCTGGGTAGTAACTAAAAAAATTCAAATATGTCAACAGTGCCAGTCTATCACATGGGAGGCTGGGTCGGGACAAGAGCTCGAATATCAAGAAAGTGAAGTTATCTCGGTGCCATGTACTTGCAAAAATAAATCCAGGTTATTTTAGACTTAACCATCATGGGTCTTGTTTCTCAGTGAAACACAGAGGAAAGCTGGGGGGTCAAAGTCCTTTTTCCAAAAGGATGTTAGAAACTTGCAATGACGACCTTATACTTGAGAACGCATTTTCAATTAATCTTCAAATTCCTTGTTTCATGAACTGGCTCTGAGGAAATAAAGAGTCTTGACAGCCAGAAGGTCTGGCCTTCATGAAAACAAACAGCTTAGCTCCTTGAATAACTTAACAGACTTTTTTCCTGATCTGTCCTTGGGCTGAAAGTTCTTTTAGGTTCTCATTTTAGTCACAGTTCAGTGTGTATTTTGCTCCCAAATCCTGCAATATGTTAGGGAAAATATTCAGCATCAACAATTCAGTGACAGCCCTTAACTATTTGTAAATTAACACAAATACAAAACTTGAAAGCCAGAATCAGACAAAAGCAAATTATCAAGAACTATCAGCACCTACCAGGTAAGGATGGTGTTGAATTATAAAAATATGATCTCAGCAAATAGAATTCCACAAAGAGCCCTCTGCACCCTGGCCTGCAGGGTCTTCCAAGCAAGAAGAAAAATCCCAGTCAATGATGGAGACCAGCTCCAGTGCAATGTTCACCTCTGTCCAACGAGCAGACAGTGACAGCTGGTTTTATTTTAGACCCTCCTCCCCCTACCAGAAGATGGTCTCGCGGTGTTTTTTACCCTTTTTTTTTTTAGGTTGTAAGGCTCCATGCCTCCTGCGTTGAGTCCCAGGAAAATCCTTACAGAAATACATGCTGGCTCTTGTATACAAAAAATCAGGTCAAAGTAGTTGCATCATCCTGTCTACCACAAGAATGTATTGCATACTCCAACAGCTGCTACTATTCTTCATTATGCGCCAATATATATACAGGTGCTGGTCATAAAATTAGAATATCATGAAAAAGTAGATTGATTTCAGTAATTCCATTTAAAAAGTGAAACTTGTATATTATATTCATACATTACATACAAACTCATATATTTCAGATGTTTATTTTGTTTAATTTTGATGATTACAAATGACAACAAATGAAAATCTCAAATTCATCATATCAGAAAATTAGAATATTGTGAAAAGGTTCAAAATTGATGGCCCCTGGTGCCACACTCTAATCAGCTAATTAAGTCAAACCACCTGCAAAAGCCTTTAAATGGTCTTTCAGTCTAGTTCTATAGGCTACACAATCATGGGGAAGACTGCTGACTTGACAGTTGTCCAAAAGACGACCATCGACACCTTGCACAAGGAGGGCAAGACACAAAAGGTCATCGCTAAAGAGGCTGGCTGTTCACAGAGCTCAGTGTCCAAGCACATTAATAGAGAGGCGAAGGGAAGGAAAAGATGTGGTCGAAAAAAGTGTACAAGCAAGAGAGATAACCGCACCCTGGAGAGGATTGTGAAACAAAACCCATTCAAAAATGTGGGGGAGATTCACAAAGAGTGGACTGCAGCTGGAGTGAGTGCTTCAAGAACCACCACACACAGACGTATGAAAGACATGGGTTTCTGCTGTCGCATTCCTTGTGTCAAGCCACTCTTGAACCACAGACAGCGTCAGAAGCGTCTTGCCTGGGCTAAAGAGAAACAGGACTGGACTGCTGGTGAGTGGTCCAAAGTCATGTTCTCTGATGAAAGTAAATTTTGCATTTCCTTTGGAAATCAAGGTCCCAGAGTCTGGAGGAAAAGAAGAGAGGCACTTCATCCACGTTGCTTGAAGTCCAGTGTAAAGTTTCCACGGTCAGTGATGGTTTGGGGTGCCATGTCATCTGCTGGTGTTGGTCCATTGTGTTTTCTGAGGTCCAGGGTCAACGCAGCCACATACCAGGAAGTTTTAGAGCACTTCATGCTTCCTGCAGCTGACCAACTTTTTGGAGATGCAGATTTCATTTTCCAACAGGACTTGGCACCTGCACACAGTGCCAAAGCTACCAGTACCTGGTTGAAGGACCATGGTATCCCTGTTCTTAATTGGCCAGCAAACTCTCCTGACCTTAACCCCATAGAAAATCTATGGGGTATTGTGAAGAAGAAGATGCAATACACCAGACCCAACAATTCAGAAGAGCTAAAAGCCACTATTAGAGCAACCTGGGCTATCATAACACCTGAGCAGTGCCACAGACTGATCGACTCCATGCCACGCCGCATTGCTGCAGTAATACAGGCCAAAGGAGGCCCAACTAAATACTGAGTGCTGTACATGCTCATACTTTTCATGTTCATACTTTTCAGTTGGCCAACATTTCTATAAATCCTTTGTTTTTATTGGTCTTCAGTAATATTCTAATTTTCTGATATGATGAATTTGAGATTTTCATTTGTTGTCATTTGTAATCATCAAAATTAAACAAAATAAACATCTGAAATATATGAGTTTGTATGTAATGTATGAATATAATATACAAGTTTCACTTTTTAAATGGAATTACTGAAATCAATCTACTTTTTCATGATATTCTAATTTTATGACCAGCACCTGTAAATCTACAACAAAACTCTGAGAATCTATCCATATTTCCTTTTCCAGAGACCAAAATGGAATGAAGAGGACTTCAAGCAGGTGCAAATTCCTTGGGACAGAAATTAATGTTTATATGCTGCCATCTGATTTTAGATTAGTGATGTAATGCTGCATGTTGAGGGGTGCAGAGTTTCTGGCTGTAAATACAAGCGACACCTCTAAGTGTGGAAGGAGAAGTGTGGCTAGTTTTGTTTAGCAAAGCTGCTGACTGTGGCGCCAGCCTGGCTGTGGAATCTCATGGATGGTTGCTCAGTCTTCACAGATCAGACATGTCTACCATGCATTGGCTCAACCACAGCATGGGTAACTCATACCTGCGTTTCTATAGACCACCTGTTCAGAAGATAAATGTCATGGGGTTTTCTGCTTTTGTACGATAAAATTTGTTTATTATCTTAAAATTAGAATTAAAAAAATATTTGCACATATTTTGCATGTAATTGTCTTAATTGTTTTATTCCAATTCAAAAATGATTGGCTCCAAGTTCCTTATTAGTTTCAAAGGAATATGCTGTAAAATCAAAGATTAAAAAATTTATTAAATATTGAACTATATACTGTCTAAATACATACAGTACTTTGCAAAAGAGGCTACGAAAGGCTGCAAAGGACTTGAGACCAGATAATCTGCAACAAGGCTTGACTATGTTCACAAATACAAAGGATAACGAGAGTCCCTGAAAAACCAAAACAGACATTTTAAATGTAACATTTAAATCATCCAATTGGAATGTTATAATTTTACATTTTGAACTGAATTATTAATGAGAAAATGCATTTGTTTATTATTCCATATTTTTATTTGAAAATGTATTTTAGAATCCTGTATCTAAATGGTGAATGGCCTGTACTTATATAGTGTTTTTTCAAGTCAGAGGACTTGATCAAAGAGCTTTACACTACATTCATTAAGTCATTCACTCGTTCACACACTGATGGTGGTGAGCTACATTACGCCACAGCTGCCCTGGGGCTCACAGACCGAAGTGAGGCTGCCATACAATGGCGCCACCAGGCCCTTTGACCACCATCAGTAGGCAATGCGGGGGAAGTGTTGTGCCCAAGGACACAACGGCACTGAAAGCCGGGGCTTGAACTTACAACCCTCCAGTTGCGGGGCAAACTCCTTTAACCAATGCCACTGTTTAAAAACCTTTGATTGCAATCAAATTTTAATTACAGCATGCAGGCTGTAACCACTAGCAGGTTGTGCATTTTGTTTCTCTGCAATTAGCTTCATGCTCTCTGTGAACATAACAAAAGGACACGTGCTTTATGCACAACAGTTGGAAACCTGAAAACAGTCATAAAAATATGATTGTTAATCTAATTCAGATATTTTTGCACGTCATGGCTCCTTGGAAATTGTAAAGAAAACTGAGGGTAAAACATGTAAAGTACTTATCCATAGAGAAGAAATATATTTTTCCCTATCAAAGCAAACCTCAACTAAGAAGAATAAGCCCTAAATAACAACAATTTCATCCTCTAATAAGAATTATTGGCAGCTTTTAAAAAAAATTCCCATTATGTAAAGGAGCTACTCAGAATATAGACCAGAGGATGCATACAGATGTAGGTGTTAGTAATGCTATGCTAACTGAGATAATTATTATTATCATTATTATGGCACAAACACAAATAAAATATAAGCTTTTTATCCAAATTAATAAGTTGGACAGAGCTATTAATAATGCTATATATGTCATGATTTTATCCAAAGAACTGACCCACATGCAGAAAACCAAACAGAGAGACCAGGAGAAGGTTTTACAGGTTTATTATGAACTGGTAGAGAAGGGTCCAGTGCTGCTCTGAACACTGGCGAGCCGGGACTGAAAAATGAAGGGAAAGATCCTGCGGTTAGTTCAGGCTCAGAGGGAAATTTGTGTTTCAATTTGTAAAAGGGAAAAAAGGCAACAGGACTCATGTTCCCAGAAAAAGAGTCTCTTTGAATCCAGTCGGTGTGGGTTGTTCCAGTAATAGACTTGCTCGTTGGAAGGCGGACAGGGTTTACGCAGGTTGAGGTGCTTCCTTGAGGAGCGGAGGAGCTGACTGCCACTTAGATTTCCTATGGTACTTGAACAGTTTCTTGTGGAGATGAATCCCCTGCTCAGTGTGAAGCCCAAACAATCCTTGGCAAAAAGTAGATCCAAACCTCCAGTTTGAACCCCCAGCTCAGATTGACGCTCAGACAATCCTTCCAGGGGCAAAAGGTCCAAAAAAATCCAGTTTGCAGGAAGACTTCATGCCGAGAGGCGAAGACAAAAAACAACAAGGTTAACACTCAGGTGACAAAAAAACTCAGTTTGACTCAGCAAAACTCAGCTTGGCTAGTGTACCCAAAACTGGCAAACACTCTGGCGTCGAGGTAGTGGCAGTCAGCAGCTTAAGAGTCCTCCGGTAATGAGGCAACCATCCGCAGGTGTGTGAGAAGGCCAATGAGAAGCAGGCGCCACCTGGTGGTCGAGGGAAAACAAACAAAAACACAACCCACACAAACTGGATTCCTAACAATATAGAACAATATAAAACATTGTAATCATAAATAATAAATGAGAAAAGAAATGATAATCTAGAATAAATAGAGTTCAGTTACACACACACATATATATATATATATATATATATATATATATATATATATATATATATATATATATATATATATATATATATATATATATATATATATATATATATATATATATATATATATATATATATATATATTGCCATACTGCCGATGGAGTGGCGACCTGTCCAGGGTGGACCCAGCCTCTCGCCCTTAGACAGCTGGAGATAGGCACCAGCACCCCTTGCGACCCCACTTGGGATTAAGCATGTCAGAAAATGGATGGATGGATGAATATGTTTTATAATTTGTCATAATATATATTATATAAATAATATATAAAAAAAATTATATATAAAATTTTAAAAAACAATTATAAAATCAAAACACAGTTGGTCAATATTACACTCTGGAAATTCAGTGGAAACTTTTCTAGAGGTTTTCATTTTGACCCTTTGCTGTGTTTGAAAGAGACTCTGGTGTTGCTCACACCAGTGAGCACTGCATAACCAAAGGCAGAAA